GTAGCTATACGTAGATTACCAAAATTCAGATCAAGGAATCCCACGATTTAGCTAGGTGGTAACACGTTGGGCTCAGAAAGGCCTTCGCTAAGTCAAAAGACCTTTGTGTGGGGTTCTTGGGCCATCTTTATAAATAAGGCAGCCAGTGCTCTCGATGAGGAGGCCCAATGCTGCGTGAAGAATGCCACTGCTCCGGCTTAGCAACAGGCTTAGGCGAAGGGAGACTAAACTCAGGGGATTTGACCCGACTTTTAAGTGGGCGGTGTCTGCACTTCCTTTGGAGTGTCGCGAACAGTAACCTCTCCGCCTCTCGGGATCAGCCTGCAAGAAGACATTTTCCAGAAGTGTCTTCTGAGAAAGACATTCCTGGATTCCACCATTAAGTGGCCAACATCGTAACATCATTATGTACAACGTACTGGGAAAAGACCGCAAGTCAGCAGCTTTCTCAAGAATGCATTCTCCGTCCAAAAATACGCAAAGGGTAGCAAATATCGAATCGCCAGCGGTTCTGATGGTACGCGAGGAGGAAAGAAGTCAAGAGCAAAAAAAAAGGAAAAAAGACACGGGGCCTGGGAGCAGAAAAGCACAGAACTCTTGTTTTCGCTGAGGTTTCGTTGATGCGCCAGTACGTCGCAGCAACGTCTTCTCCATCCCATTCAACTGATACCTCTCACTGCAGGACTGCAAGTGGCTTCTTCGTCCTGTCTGCTTTTTTCTTCGTCTCAAGGGCAGCAAATGTCTGGGTGAAAGCAACGAGACAAGGGGTGAGGAAGACCGTTTTGTGCGGAATGGTTGGGATCAGCGCTTCCTTCATGAGGCTGAACGGTTTTGGGATCAACGCGCTCACTCAAAAACTTGGACAAGCTCTTTGATGCTGGAACGTTGGATCAGCGCTTCCTCATGAGGTCAGTACGGTTGGATCAGACCCAGCCTTCTTCTGTCATGAGGCTGACTGAACGGTTGGGATCAAAGCTCTCTCTTCATGAGGCCGAACGGTTGGGATCAGCGCTTCCTTCATGAGGCTGAACGGTTGGGATCAGTGCTTCCTTCATGAGGCCGAACGGTTGGGATCAACGCTTCCTTCATAGGGCCGAACGGTTGGGATCAAATCTGCCTTTTACGTCAGGACTTATGACGAGTGCTCACCTTGAGGTAATAGAAGAGTCCCGTGCCAGTCTGGGACCCCCAGTACCAAACAGTGAACCCCCCAGCCCTGTTTTAGCGTGGGCCCATTAAGCCCAACTGGAGTCTATGTGCCAATCATTTGACCACCTGCGGCGAGCAGGGATATCGCTGCGTTAGTTGACGGTTCATGCGTCGATCTAGGGTCAACTGCGCGGGTCGGAGGGCCTCTCGTGTCAGGGAGCGGACCAATGTGGTATGATGTATCTCTCTACGGGCCTCCGGATCGGCCAGGGGATGTTGCCCCGTGTCACCAGAGTGACGGCCGGAAAATACATCGCGGTGGGGCTGAAGGGCCATTCAGCTCCTGACCAGAAGCACCAATGTGCCCCGCAGTGTTGTACTCAAGGGGACCCCTTTTGCCGGAAAGAAATAACGGATCCCGCGCGCCGCGTGCCGATAGTGCAGTGGTTAACGCGCCTGTGTCAACTACTGCGCGTCTGGGAAACCATAGGTACGGGGTTCGATTCCCCTACGGTGCCCGCCCTTCCTGCCAGGGTGAGAGGCTGGCGGCGCCATGCAGTCCCAGCAGCTGAGTGCGTCATAAGGCCCCGCTTGCACGCCAGTAATCTTGGGAAGCAAGGATAGCGATGGCTTGGGTCGCAGCTTCCTTAAATCCGGGCGGCGTTGGCCATTGCAGTGAACATCGGGGCGGGCGCCGAGCACGCAACAATGACCATCATCAAACAATGTTTCTGAATGTCGCTCAGAATCAATTCATACAGTTCAAAGATCGCGCGGGGAAAACTGTATTTCAACATTGAGGCTGTCCTCTGGACAGATTAACAGTTACAGCAATACGACAAATTGAGATTTTACCTTTACTCTTCCAGATCCACCAGCGGATTCCAGCACCACTTCGCGGCGCTATAAATGCCAAGACGTTTTTGCCGTCAATCTAAAAAGCGCACAGCTAAAAAATGCGCCCGAAATATCTCTAAATGTACGATGTGGTTTCCAAAATAATTCAAAGGTATTTCTTTAAAATGCGTTACCATTTTCGTTCACCTGTTGGCCACCGCCTAATATCAACCACAAGGCCGACGCTGCGCGGCCTCAGGAGACCGCAACGCCTGACGTCGTGTTTTTTGTTTCTCAGATATGCGAGCGCGCATGCTCAAAACTACGTTCCACAATTTGTACCACTAACCAATTCTGACAGAATGTTGAAGATATCCAGACAAACTTAGCTTGGCCATGCTAATGCAAATTGTTGACCCATTTTAACCTTCAGTCTGCATTCGCGGAATCCTTGCTATCTCTGTACAACCCAGATACATGTTTCTGAGTTCTAACGGTTTTAAAGAGCCCTCTGGACCATTGTAAAATGAAGAGCGCCGGCGATGTAGTTCATGCCGTCACTGAACACATGATTTTGTCAGTTTATTTACTAACAACTTACAGCAGAATTGATCCCGCGGTAATATCTGGTTTATATTCTAGTTATAAAAGTTAATAATGTGCAATATATATATATATATATATATATATATATATATATATATATATATATATATATATTATCCAAGAAAAGCATATCCTCAAAAACAAATGAGGCGTATCCGGCGATTTGGGGGGCCCTTTTACTATCAAGGGGGCCCTTTGTTAACTCTAGGCCCCCTTTGTCACGGCTCCGGCTGCACCCCTGCACGGGATTAGATGAGGCAAAAGTATGTTTTGCCGCCCCCTTGGAAGGCCCCTTTTTCCACTTCTAAAGGTAGTGTAGCTACACGTAGAGTACCCGAAAGTTCGGATCAAGGAAGCTACCATAGCTGAACTAGCTGATAATGCGTCGGGCTCAGAAATACCCTTTGCTACATCAAGAGGCCCGTTTTCTGGGTCGCGAGATCATCTTAATGAAAAAGGTAGCCAATTATTTCAATGAGGAGGCCCAATGCTGTGTCAAGGAGACCACTTTGCTTATGCTTAGCAACAGGCTTAGGTGAAGGGAGACCAAACTAAGGAGATTTGGCCCGAATTTAAAGGGGGCAGTGCTTGCATTTCCTTTTGGAATGTCATGGACAACCCCCCCCCCCCCCCACTTCTCTTGAAGAGATCAGTCTGCAAGAAGAAACTTTCCTCCAGTCATTCCTGGATTCAATCATTAACACGTGCTCGGGTGGGTGGTCACTTCCCTCACCTCCGGAAAGCTTTTCCATAATGATTTCCGAACGGCGCAACATAGCCGTGCCAAACTTTGCATACCTGTAGGCATTTGAAAGTGGATCTTTTGTAATGGAAAAATGGATGTACCGTGTAAGGTCGCAGTCCTATTGCCGACCTACTGGCAAGGCAAAATCAGGCACTGGCGGTCGGCGAGGACCAGTTCTAAGGAATCGTTCGATCTGATGTGACAACGGAGTGTTAGACTATGCCATAAATCCCTGAGATAGTTTTTTAGGCAATGTCCCAACTGAACTCAGAATCACAACAGGTTGCATTGACAGGGTCACGTATCAAGGTCGGACTGACGCCAAAACTATTCTGCTTTTTTACTCGAGTTTGTTTTATGAGAACTGTTCATTTTTAGCCTAATAATGGGAAGGACCGCCACAGAAAAGCTCCATGGATTTGTTAACAATCAGATTAGATCACTGACAGGTACTTGGCTCAGGTACTCAGGTTCTCAGGTTCAGGTTCAGGTAACAGGAGTTCAGGTGAAGGGCTGATACTCGAGGTCTGGGGTCACTTTGGATACCAATCTGGACTTTGACCTCGTTTTACCTCACTTGGCCCAACAGTTATGGCACAGGAACATCAAATTTTGACATGCGTGAGTTATATACAGGCTTACTCGCCCCGGGAATTTGGCGAACGTCGCTATCTTAGTTTTCGAGATCTTAAGTGGTCAAATTGACCCTCACCCCCCAAACCGAGCGAAGGGTGTGCAACCCGTCGCCCGGACGCGTGAAAAAAACAGCGAGTGTCGTCGCACCAAGGCTTGACATACTCGGGCTTCCACTTCCGACCTTTAAAAATTGAGTTCCGGGTAGTGCTAGCGTCATTTATTTTAACCGAAATGCCAATAATTCGCAAATTTACGTGGTGGCCCTGTTATATTACGGTTCTGGGAGAAAATAAAGCTGGTCCTAGGCCGCACTGGTAGGGAGCAGCCCGTCATTGTAAAAACTTCATTAGGAATTTCACTCGAAATTCACTGACAGGCTTTTACTGGAAAGAAAATCTTTTACGTGTGCCATAACCCTATTTCTTACCACACTGCCAGATGCGCCTCCTTTTTGGAGTCCAATTAGAAGAAAAAAAACACGCAAACGGCATTTTGCAACCAGGAAGTCAGTCGAAAAGACGCAAGTGCGGACGTGCGTTTTTCATTAGTTGAACCCTTAGAGAAACCCCAAGTCATTACTTGAACCCCTGATAGATTGAGCAGACGTGGTTGAACCAGCAGAGAAGTCACATGCACGCTCGCTGCACCTCCCGGTCCTTCTACGCTGCAGATCGGACCTGCTCCGCCTTGGCCGATTTTTTGAAAAACTAAACCCAAATTTTGGGGGGTTGAGGCGCTAACGACACTGCTATTTTTGGTGATAATCGGGATCGGTATTGCGGATGTGAAAGCGCGATAACCCCGAAATGGCAAGATTGTACTAGCGCTTTATTTCATCTGCGCAGTACTCCTCAGCAATGTGATATGCTTCGACGACTTTTGCGTGGAGCGTTCCGCGATGAACAAGTGATCAAGGTGTCAGCAAAGACTCGCACTGATTACTCCGAACCTCCAACAGAAACAGGTTCTTCCTCACGGGCCCCTCTCCTCTCCTAATTGTGGAGCCGTGGTAAATATTCGCAGCTTACCGAGCAGGGAATGTGTATTGCATCAGCATAACATCACAGCCTTGCACGCAATACCAAGCACCGCATCAACGCACTCCGAGCTGAAAGTCGATGGTGATCTTGGAAACCGACGACATAACAGGCCACATGACCTTCAAAAAGTGCTCACGTTTAAACGAGCCATCAACAAATCAGCTGACACTGGTTTCCACGTCGGGTCGACCGGCGGACCGAGGAGACCAGACGCAGGTCTGGTCCGGGGCAGCCGGCGGGTCTGGTCCACCTGGTCAGGACCACGGACGGACCAGACCGGCCTCAGAGCTTCGCCTCCCGGACCTATCCGGCCTTCGGCTCGGCGCGACCGTCCAGCTTCCTGAGCAGCCGCAGGCCGATGTCGACCTTGAACTTTTTGTTCTCGACCTTGATGACCTCGACCTCGACGTGATCGTTCACCCGCAGCTCGGCCGAGCCCATTTTGGAGACGTGGATCAGACCCGACTCGCCGATCCCTGCGGCGAGGCGGCTCGCGTGAGGCAGCCCACAATACAGCGAGACAGCTCACCAGAACAGCAAAGCAGCTGACAGTACAGTGAGACAGCCGATAGTACAGCGAGACAGCCGACAGAACAGCAAGACAGCCGACAGAACAGCGAGACAGCCAACAGTACAGACGACAGTACAGCGGAACAGCCGACAGTACAGCGAGACAGCCAACAGTACAGCGAGACAGCCTGTCTGGCAATGACAAAAGAGCAGACGCACAGCACGGGAGCAGACGTCGCATCTCAGTAGTATTTCTAAGACCGCAAAAAGAAAACGATCAAAGGCAGCGCGACAAAAATCGACCTGACGGCGGCGCATGCGCACGGGTATTTGCGCATGCGCAATTGCGCAAGGGTAAAACAAATTTGTCCCAGTATAAGCCGCGTGAGTGGGATATACGGTTATCCCTAGGTGCTGGTCAACCAATCTACGGTAAATCTTTGGGGGGGGGGGGGGGAGGGCTGTTTAATGATATTGAATTGCGTCTGTGGTGCCTTGAATAAGGAACCATTAAACAAATGAAAAACTTTCGGCACACGGAAACCAGCGCAAAATCGCACACGTCAACGACTTGTGCCCTTGCCTGACCTCAGCTCCATCTCAAGTCTGCTTTTGCATTCCATTGGACTCGGAACGGGAGCTATACTCATTTTATCTGAACATTGGCGACGTATTCTTTATGGTCGCATTTTCTCGAACCCAGGTTCCCAGGCATCAGGGATACCTGACTTTCAGGGCAAATGGCTCACCCCAAGGGCCAGTTACTTTTGCAGCTCCGGCCTAACGTGAGGCCAAATGACACGGGTGAGCCCATGTCATCATGTTACCAACGACGTGAGTAGAGATAGCTCCAGCCAAAGCTGCGGAAGGGCTGGCGACGAACGAACAAGCCTACGGTGACAATGACTGCGCGATCAAGACACAACGGTGGATGCATTCAACGTACGGCGCATTAACCAGTGTTGCGCGTTTGCACAAGGATGCATGCTGTCTCCCCTCCCCCCCCCCCCCCTCCCACAGAAATATGATGCCATAAGTCCTAAGACACACTCAACTGACGCCCTGCCAGCCAGCAACAAACGTGCGCCCACACCGCACCACCAGCCAACAGACGTGCGCCCATATCGCACCACCATCCAACAGACGTGAGCCCACACCGCATCACCAGCCAACAGACGTGCGCCCACATCGCACCACCAGCCAACAACAGACGTGCGCCCGCACCACATCACCAGCCACAATAGACATTCGCCCGCACCACATCACCAGCCAATAACAGACGTGCGCCCACACCGCACCACCAGCTAACAACAGACGTGTGCCCACACCGCACCACCATCCAACAGACGTGTGCCCACACCGCACCACCATCCAACAGACGTGTGCCCACACCGCACCACCATCCAACAGACGTGCGCCCACACCGTGCTACCAGCCAACAGACGTGCGCCCATACCGCGCTACCAGTGAACAACAGACGTGCGCCCACACCGCACCGCCAGCCAATAACAGGCGTGCGCCCGCACCGCACGATCAGCCAATAACAGACGTGTGCCCACACCGTGCTACCAGCCAACAGACGCGTGTCCACGGCGCACCACCAGCCAATAACAGACGTGTGCCCCCACCGCACCATCAGCCAACAACAGACGTGCGCCTACACCGTGCTACCAGCCAATAACAGACGCGCGCCCACACCGCACCACCAGCCAATAACAGACATGCGCCCACACCGTGCTACCACTCAGCTCACCGAGGTCAACAAAGGCGCCGAATTCTGTCGGGTTCCTGACGACACCCCGGAGCCGCGCGCCGCAGCGCACGTCCTGCGCGCGCATCGCCGCCTTCCAGAACATGGGCGTCGCCATCTCCTGGCGCTCGTCGTACCTGCGGCGGGGCGGCCACCGACGGTCAGCGGCCACGCGTGCGTGGCGCGCGGCGGAGACGGGCGTCTGCCGGGGCGATCGGGCCGAGGGAGGGGAACCGAGCCGCGCTGGGGCGCGTTGACGGGGTGGGTACCGAAGCCCATCACCGGTTCACAGCGGTGCTGGTGCTCAGCTTAGGGTCTGATGACGTCAGCAGCAGCTCGGCGCGAGTCTGGTGACGTCACTGCAGCGCTCGCCGGCGCCGTTAGTGAAGCGCGCGTGGCCGTCTCACCCGGGTTCTGACAGAGCTTTGATGATCAGCTCCAGCGTGTGGACGTCCGTGCCCAGATCCGTGGCCAGCTGCTCCCGGCTCCGCCCACCGCAGCGTGACGTCAGACGATCGGCCAGCCACTCTTGACCCACGTCGGCCGACGAGCAGCCAATTAGCTGTCGACGAGGACAACGGTCAGCCATTCAGCAGGCTGCAGGCCGGTCACCGAGCAATGCTCATGAACTCACAACCTGCTGGCAACTCGCGGCAGGCAGAGGAACGTTGAACGCCATGGAGGGTGTAAGCCCTGACAACAACAGCTTCTGCAGAAACTACCAGAACACAACGTGCCTCAACTCAGATGGACACTTCATTCGCCGACATCGCCTCGGCTCAGACATGTCGTCGTCAGCCAAACCCACCACCTGAGACCTGACACTGACCTTGAGCAGCTTGCTGGCCACTGGGTAACTCTCGGGATGGATGATGGTCTGGTCCAGGGGCTCCGGATCCGTGGGCGCGACCTTGCCACCCTTCTTCGGCGTCATCTTCGTCTTCTGCGGGGGACAGACGGCGGCACTCGAAGGCTCAGGGAGCACAAGGACCGGAGCAGTGTCATCAAGTCATTTAGCTCTCAGTGACGTCTGTACCAAGGCATACGTGTCAGAATAAGACTTGCGATGCGCAGTCATACCACATCCTGGCAGTAGTCAAAACTGCGTCTTGCAGACCGCACAATTCGTACGAAACACAAGCAATGTGCTCAAAAATTAACAAACATGACGAAACACGTGGTGTGAATTGGCGTGAAAAAAATACGCTCGTGTAACGACGTTTTTACGTTTTAAATAAAAGTGGCTCCATAAACGTAAGTAAAGGGAAGGAGCGAAGGAGGATCAAGACAACCAATACTCAAAACATACCAGTTTCGGTAACAATCGCTGTAACGCACCAGGCCCTTGAGTTATGTTGTCACCTGGAAACAGAACGCCTACCGAGGCTACCTCCAACCTAGCGTACCCTCCTTGATTAGGCCACTAAATGTCCCGTTAGTCATACAAAGTACAGTTTTAACCTTCACCATGCTTTGCCGTTTTTAACGCAGACTGATGGGACGGGGGGGGGGGGGGGGCACAATCGATCCCATGCCGTTCCAAGCTGAGAACGGTGAAGCCTAACGGAAAACAACAGAGGATTGACCTTAATGAGATCTCGCGAACGGCAATGAGTCTTAAGTTACTAAACCCATAACTGATCTCAATTTGCAAGGTCAAAGGCTAAAATTTCCTCAAGCCCGAACTTTTCCAGCTTTACAACTTTTACGCACGGAACCATGCCTGGCGGCGACACGAAAACTAAACTGGCATGTTTCTCCTTCAATTGGCAGTACAAAATGACTAGTGTTATGTGCTTTGAGCATATATTTATGTCTGGCTCCACCCATGTCTGCCGCGCGCGGTCCGTGGAACCATCGGCTGCCACCCGCTGTTTCTGACGGCCGTACATCACCGTGCGGTAGTCTCCGAAAACCGCCGCCATCCCGAAACCAGAAAAGCTAGACACAGTTTCTGACGTCAAAACACGGTAGCAACTGCTCTATAGGCCGTTGAAAATGTGGACGTGATAGTACGGCGTGCCGGAGAGGTATCGCTAGAAGACCTGAGGAAGAGGAAAGAGGCGCGCATAGACCCCCTCCCTCGCGCCTCTACCAGGGTGAGGTTTCAACTGAATATTGCCACGTATGGTTCCGTGGAGCGTGAGGTCTTCTACAGTCTCCAATAACGCTGAATGGCTTGAACGCGCACGAGCGCAATCCCTTCTCGTCAAAAGGCAAGGTAAGTACTCCAAACGTGGCACGCCCACCTCAGCTGACAGACGACCCCGTGCGTCGACACACCAGTAAGCTGGGCGCAACACACGCTGCCGGTAGTCCCCGTGGGTCTTTCGCGTGGACCCACGTGGACCCCAGTCCCGCTCGCCGCGCGTCCCATCCCCCTCCTCCACACCCACAGCACAGCGCCGCTCTCCTCCCCGTCCCAGACCCACTTTGCCCGCCGCGCCCTCTCTGTCCCTACCCCCTCAGACCCATTATGTCCGCTGTGCCCCCTCCGCCCTTCCTCCCTCCTAGACCCACCTTGCCCGTCGCACCCGCTCCTACCTCCCTCCCAGACCCACCTTGCCCGCCACGCCCTCTCCGCCCCTCCCCCTCGGACCCACCTTGCCCGCCGCGCACTCTCCGCCCCTCCCCCTCGGACCCACCTTGCCCGCCGCGCACTATCCGCCCCTCCCCCCCCCCTAGACCCACTTTGCCCGCCTCTCCGCCCCTCCCCCTCAGACCCACCTTGCCCGCCGCGCACTCTCCGCCCCTCCCCCCCCCCCCTTAGACCCACCTTGCCCGCCTCTCCGCCCCTCCCCCCTCAGACCCACCTTGCCTGCCGCGCCCGTCACGGGCAGGATGCGCACGAAGCCCGCGCACTGTTCGAAGCTCTTGGGACCGACACCCTTGACGGAGCGCAGCTGCTGCCGGTTGACGAACAGCTTGCCCTCGCGCCGCTTCTGCGCGATGTTCTCGGCGCTGGAGCGGACCGCGCGATAACAGTCACCGGCGGCGAGGCCAGGGGTCACGTGGCCACAGTGGCCATCGGGAGCCGCCATGCCAGGCGTCACGTGGCCACAGTGGCCATCGGGAGCCCCTGATAACGTCACCGACAACTACATAAAAACAGCTACGGATGATCTGGTGATTAGCACGTAAGAGGGGGGGGGGGGATGAGGATGGAGGGTTAAGGTGATTACCCGCGCTCGTCTTGGTTCACCAGTCCGTTCACGCTCTCAGTGACACGTAATAAAACATGAACAGCATGGAGTAATGAGAGCATGGCGTAGTTATGACGCAGAAGTACATCCCGTTTTTCATCCAGCAATCAAGCATACAACACACTAAGAGATCGGTAGACCCTTGCAAGTGACGTTGTGCGCATCAACCCACCACGGGCGCCATTCACCTCCTCTCCGCGAGCGCACGGCGACCTCCCGCCCAGCGACACACCGTCTGCTCGCCGATGCCCCCGCCCCTCGCCCGCCCCCCCCCCCCCCCCGGTCCGCGCCGGTCCGAGCGCGCGGCGCCGGCACGCTCACCTGCCAGCGTTGAGGCCCGGCACCTTGCGCAGCAGCTGCACGGAGGCCGTGTTGAGGTCGACACCGACGGCGCCCACACAGTCGGAAAGCACGTCCCCGAGCACGAGGCTCACCTGGCCGGCCGGCATGTCCTTCTGGTACATGCCGACCCCCAGACAGGTCACGTCCACCTGGCGGCCAGGTCAGGTCAGAGGCGGGTTCAGAGGGGGGGGGGCAGAGGCGCACGCAGGCAGGGATGGGAGGATCAGAGGCGGGTTGAGGTGAGGGGGTCAGAGGCGTGCAAAGCCCGCGGGTGGGGAAGGGGAGGCGTGAGGGTTTGGCATGCTCCCAAAGTCAGAAAACGACGGTCAGAAACAGGAAAAGGCAAAAACGAATTGGCTGTGGACAAACGATGAGAGCGGAACCCGCAGCCCCACCAGGGACAGCAAAGTTGGCAGCGTTTGATGACTTATCTGGTGGCCCGTGATCACAAAAACCCCTAGCGCCCACTTACCACGACACTGCCATAGCGTTCAGACACAAACAAGGGGGTGGTCCTGAGCTAGTCGCCGCACGCGGCCGCGGTGCACTGATCTTGTTCGGGACAGGCAATCGGCCCGTTGTCATGGACTCATCGCATCGCGAGGCGCCGTTGTGCGCCGTTCGAACCTTCGCATGCTGCAACAGCCGCGCCTCACTACACGCCCCACCCATTCGCAGCCGCAACCGAACCCTTCCCTTGCCACAGCATGCGACCACAGGCCGCCGCTCAGCCCGCCGCCCGCGTACCTTGACGTACTCGGAGATGGGGTCCTGGAGGCGGCGCGCCAGCGACACGGCGCTGCGGACGCTGCAGTCCAGCTCGGGCATCTCGTCGGCCGCCGCCTTGGTGGTCGAGTACTCGCTGGCGCCGCCCTCGTCGACCAGCGTGACATCTAGCGGCGAATCGGCCAACCAGCCGGCGCCGTTCAGTTCGGCCACGTACTGCCACGTCTCTCGGCACGCCGTGCCGTTGCCCACCTGGGGATGGGAGAGGGGGGAGGGGGCAGTCAGTGGCGTTCGCGCTCGGCGCCGTTTATGTGCGGTGCGAGGACCGGGCCGGATTTCAACGGTCAGGCAGGTCAGGGGAGGAATGTGAGGCCAGTCTAGGTGAGGGCGACACCGGAGCGACTCCGGCGTGGTCGGCAGCGCTCGGGGGTGTGCGGCGAGATAGGTCAGCTCTGGGCGGCCGGGGCGCCGTGAGAAGGCCGGCTGGTCGGGCGAACAAAGGGTGCAGCTGCACACAACCAAGCTGGAGAGGACGGGGAAGAAAAAGCCGCCAGTCGAGCTGAATCCAAACACGTCGGCTGATGGGCTGCGACAGGACGAAACCGTGCAAATGAGCCAGGGAAATGGTACCAGTGTAGGAAAAAAGAAACAGATCCAGCCCGAAGAGACCTAGCGGCGCCGTCAAAAAGCCACTGAGCCTTAGAGGAAGTACCAAAATACCCAAACAACAAAAGAAACATGCACAAAGCCACAAATCGAACGCACTTATCTAACCACAGTGGTCTCACCGACCGATCATAAAGTACACTACTACCAGACGGGCCGGCGTCGGGCGCTCGCCGGCCCGTCCCAGTGCGGGGGTGAGCTCGGGTGCGGCGCGCCACTGACCCCCAGCAGGGTGACGCTGTGCCGCTGGACCATCTCCCGAAGCTGCACGGCGGCCGCGTCGGAAGAGACGTGCGGCCAGCGAGCGGCCAGCCGCGGCTGCAGCACCGCCGTCTGCAGGATCTCCCCCTGCGCCGACACCTGCGGCACAGAGAGCAGGAGCTGGACGGGTCGCACTCGTCGGCGCCTGCGGGGAGCAGGGGCTGTGGAGGTACCGGTGGGCTGGGGCCCGCGGGGGGAACTCAGGGGCTACGCTAACCGGTGCCTGCGGGCAACAGGAGCTGTGAAGGTAGCAGTGTGCAGACGCCTTCCTGGCGTGAACATCCAAGGGAGCAGGGGACCAGGAACTGCGTAGCAGGCCACATCGGACAGGCACCCGCCGGAGAACCGTGGACACCCTCGATACACGCTTGTATGGAACAGCAGCTGTCGACGTCAGCGGCCAACGAATCGGCCATCGCCGAAGGGCGGCTCTGGAAGCGTGTATCGGGTGGAAAGGGATACGGTGGAACAGATGGCAACGATGTGGCAAAGAGCAGCACTCGCATTACCGCTGAGTGCCGACTGTTTTCAATCCAGCTGAACGGCAAACGTAGCGAGACGCGGCAGTGCGCTCGGTGTGAAGAATGCCGTGAAACTGTCTGCTTTTGGGTGGTAGTTTCACGTGCCCAGATCCGCGCGCGAGGGGCGTTGCCTGCCAATGTTCGGTTGGACCAACGCCGCCCATCCACAACACGTCCACGACATCCGCACGGGCTGCCCAGCTTTCGTCGGCCTCTGGCGCCATCTGTGCGACACCGGACCGACGTGGCGGGGGACGGCAGCCGCTCCAGCACACCGAACTCACCACTCCCACCTTGCAGGCCTTGAAGCCAGGGTCCAGCGCCAGAATCACGCGGCCCCGGATCGGCGGTGTCAGCAGCTTGGCCTTGAGGTTGCGCGACATCACCAGCAGCGCCTCGCGCTCAGCGGCCTCCTTCAGCGAGCTGCGCACCTGTCGCTCCAGCTGGCGCGTCACGCTCTTGCTGAAGACGTCGCCCACCGCCCGCTCCAGCATCGACTCGCGAACGGCATCCCGCATGCCGCTGCGGCGAGGAGGGGGGGGGAGAGGGGGGGGGGGAGAGGGGGGGGGGAGCGGCTCACACACTGCTGCCATGCAATTAACGGCCGCCAGCAGGGCCCGTGGTGACGATGATTTGGGGTTTTTGGGCGCGTCGACGCTGCAGGTCATGCAGCACCCATAGCTTTGACACAGACCTGGCAGCCTCCCCGGAGAAGGAGTTCACAGCAGTCGGACTCGGGGCACTCTGCAGTCACCGGCTCATGGCGGCGCGACAGTACGGACGATGGTGAGGCTGCTGTCACGTAAAGCGGCGGGCTAATATGACGCCAGCCAGACAGGGAGACCACATCTGAGCTCCGGGGCGAGTCCGCCAATGCCTTCACTCACAGCGCTCCGGAGAACAGCAGCGGTGCCTCAACCAGACTCCCCTCCCCGCCGCCCCCCCCCCCCCCCCACCCCCACCTCTCCAACACACACACGAAACTTCTCGGTAATCAGCTACGGACAGACAAGGACCGCATGGCCCGTGCCACACCCTCTCACCTGCTGAGGAACCGGTGTCCACAGTGGTCTCTGAAGCGGTACCGCAGCTCGTCCGGCAGCTCCAGCCGCACCGTGATGTACTTCTGCTCCTCCGCCCGGCAGATGGCCAGGTACTCGAAGCTGCGTACCCAGCGGATCGGCTTGCGGAAGCTCAGGTAGTTCTTGTACTTGTACGCCTGATCGTCGGCGGGCGCCGGCTGACTCTTGGACGCCGCCTTCTGCTTGGTGACCAGCTGGATGCCGGGGTGCGAGGCCATGCGCACCACCTTCGACCGGCGGGCGCGAGAGGTCAGGGGTCGCGTTTAGCGGAGGCGACGTCGGCAGTAAGGAAAGGGCCGTAGCAGCCACGCCCTCTCGGACATGCTTCGGTCGGCAGAGCATTGTGACGAATGGTTACCATCCACTACTTACTAATGCAACTAACTGATGTTACAGTCATCCAGGTCACAGTTGAACACGGCCGTCCTTGCGCGCATGTGCGTATGTGCGCACGTGCATGTGTGTCATTGGGGCTTCACGACGCACCCAGCAGCTGTGGCTATATGGCGTCGCCTGCCTTTTGCCCTGGCTGACTTACTCAGCAACCTTAACACCCGTACACGTGGACAGGCTGACCTCCTGCTGGATGGTGACGTCCTTGCTGATGACGTCACAGATAATGTTTATCAGCCCGGTCTGGATCTGCTCAAGCGTGGAGCGGCCTTCCTGTCCTGGCTGAATGAGCGCCGCCGGCTGACATCTAGCGGTGCCATGGAGAAGCTGAAGTGCGGCCGGCTCCAGCCCGGCGTCGCGCGCGCGGGCGGCCAATGTCGTGCGCGGACCCTTCCTGCGGAGAACAGCCAGCAATCATTATCTAAGGCTGGGGATGCATAGGCGTTGCTCAAACCCCCAAAGACATCTTTAAACGAGGAAACACAAATGAAAAAAACAGGTTGAAAAAATGAAAGCAGGTTACAGAGTGCAGTCATCTCTATGCATTCAAATTTATGTTCTCAATGCAATGAAAACTATATACATGAGAACCTGCCACTACAGTGTAACAAGCAGTAAAAGTGACGCCTCAGATCACACACAAGGACAACAGTGCATAAGCAGCATGGAAAGGATAGACTCTCACTTGTGCGGCTCCATCAGCGTTTCGAGCTGAGACTTCTTGGAGACTGAAACAAGCGCTTGGCGGAGCTCTGGTGTCACCTGGCGGACGCGCCGGATGTTATCAGCAAAAGAAAGACGTTCAATATGATTGAAATTCGCAGAGCGCGTCGTCCTTCCCACACATAAAGGACTGTTAAAAAACAGAAGCCTATGAACGGGATATGAGTTAACCGAATCTTTCCAATTAGAAATCTAAACAATGAAAAAAAGAAAACGGCGCGAGGTCCACCTCATGGAATTTCAATACACTGGACTACTACATACTTCTAGGTACGCAACTTTGTCACCGCAGCTACATCAGTGCCGACCATCTCCAAGTGATCGGAGTCTTGCTCCCCACTCCGAAAAAGTAACGGCGCACGTGCCTCCCGCGACGTTGCGACCCCCCCCCCCCCCTTCCCCCACACACTTCGAAGCCAATGTATACCCCGAATATTTGCGGCACCCAGCACAGAGGTACGGGTATGCCCCCGTGACCGAGAACTCCAACCCCCTAAAACCACTTCGGCACCTCCCGGTGCCGTGTTGGGAGGTCCCGATCACCCCGCCCGCGCGCCTCGCACGCCGCGGCGCCCCACTATCGGGGGGTCACCGCAGGCGCACGGCACCCATCATGATCGGAGTCGGCCGGCGGCGTTCTGACGCCGCTGCGGCGCCGCCGGTGTCGGGACTGATAGTGCGCCGCCGTGGTGGTCGGCCTGGACGAGCCGTCTTTGTACTGCAATTCGCTGACAGGCATGACGATAAAATGGCAGTAGAGGGGGGGGGGGGGGCATACACGTTCTTTTTCTCCGGTAATCTCCTTTATTGAAAGTTTTTCTCCACCTCCTATCCCGCCAGAGCACGATGTCACGCCTACGTCCGGTTCGGGCTTCGATCATCCCCGAGAGCAAGCGCTGATTCGAATGTCATACCTTGACGCGGGGAGGCTTCTACGTACACTTTTTACGGAATGGAATCCAGGGTCGATTTCTGCACTGTTTGCATTGCGCTCTCAGGACTAAGAGCAAGTATTTAATCTTCCTTTTTTAATTATTATTCTTCTGTGTTCTATCCCACCTGGCAGATAGTGCTAGATGTACTATTAGTTTCAACACGGATATGCTTAGGCGCTTGACCACGGTACGCCATTGCGGATCAAAGCAATAGGCTTGCGAGACCTGAATGAACGAGCCGTTCCCATGAACGTGGCCCCTGAAAAGTTACCACCGCCAGGTAATCGGAAGAGCGGTGAGTTCCCGTTGGCCGTGGAGGCAAGACCCGCAGCTGGCGCTCCTGCTAGTGTAAGCGTCTACTGCCATCGATCGGCAACTGCCAAGACTGCGACGCCCGAAATTATTTCCCAGAAGAGGCAGGTTTTTTTGGCTAGTACTGATCAAATGCAGTTTTATAGGACGCACGAGAGCAGCCCACACGGAACCTCATGTATTCCGTCCATGCCGTTTTTGTCTGATATGTGGCATACCTGCAACATTGCCATGCACCGACTGCAGCTGGCTCGGATCAGTTGAACAGCTGCCTATCTGGTAGGCTCAAAACATCGACAAAAAAGTGCTTGAGTAAATGTGATCACATATTTCGGTAGCAGGGATGTCAAACGTGCGTTGATAGAAGACACCGTGAGTCTCGCGGGATGTACGAGCCCTCGCCCCCCCCCCCCCCCCCACCAAAACTCGTCACCCCCAATCAAAAACTTTGCATCCTCCCAGTTAAGGTCTACCAAAGACTATCGGAGTGCAGATGGGGAGAGCAGGGAATGTGAAGTTGCTTTGCTTGCATTATTACTGGCCTTGCACTGTAGAAAAGTACCATACAAATTCATATGAACATCAGCACACGGCTAAGGCAAAAGAGCCACACAAATTCGTGTGAATTTAAACCACCATTTCATTAAGGTGTAGATGGAGTGTAATATCACTTCATCCGACATCGACGGCGTGGCAGGACCGAACCTTCTCCTCTTTCTTCAGCTGTTTGTAGGCCTTGCCGACGGACGTCTGCAGGTTCACCAGGTAGGCGTGTGAGGCCGCCACCTCGTGCAGCAGCTCCGGATCGATGTTGTTGGTCTGTGCCTTGCGGTAGCGGGCGATGAAGGACACCTGCAACAGCCGATACCAAGCGTAGGCGGTGTGGTTGGCAGCAAACTATAATTGGGATCAAAAGACCCTGGTTCCATGCCTGCAAACTGTGTGATTGTTCTGATGGTGCTTAGACAAAACAGCAAAAACGTTTGGGGGAATCGATCAGAAATAATGGCTAATCCTACTCTGCCCAAAATATGCCCAGAAAGATCCTTCTTTCCAGATTTGACCCAGTTGCTTTTCTAAGAGCATGCGTGTGGGGGGGGGGGGGCATAGGGGCAGTCCCTAACTGAACAGAAAATTACACCTCCGAGTTGCATCATAGAATTGAAGATGGGCTGAGCCAAAAATGGCAAGAAGCTACATGCTCACCTCATGGTCATCTGCATGCTATCAACAGCTGGCAGAAGAGAATGCCTCTGAGTGATCAGGACAGTGGCTTTATTTATGAAGACCACACCAGACTGCAGCATGTCTGCTGGCTGGGTCACCATGCAGGCATGGCCACCAGCTATCATGATGTGACTCTGACCTTATGGTCCTCCTCCAGCAGATGGCTAATGTTGACAGAGACATCCATGTCCAGGTGGTGCTGCTGCGATAGCATGTATGGGATGTCCAGTTGGATGTCCTCATCAGCATCAAGTACTGCTTCCCTCTGTGCACCAGAGCCATACCATCTGCTGATTTCTAGCTCTCATGTCCTGGACTATACAGGTGTGTGTGGATTGCTTAACCACTACTTGCATTAATCTGGCAAAACTGCAATCAACCCATTATTGAGGCAGGCATGCATAAACAGCTGAGAACAGCAAACAGAATGTTTTTGTGCAGTGTGACTTACATAAGACAGCTCAAAATCACTTGACTTTGTCATTGAAAATCATAAACTACAGCAAAAAAAAAAATGGCCACAAGGTGGTTAGCAAATTCTGAAAAGAAAGGATCCACTCACCTTGATTTTCTTTTTTGCTGGCATTTCCTCTGTTTTATCTGCCTTTCTCTTTTCATTCTTAACTATTTTTTCCTCAGTTTTAATCTTCTTCTTTTTCATGTTTACTCTAGATGGGCCAGGTGTCTGGCTAGATGATGCCATATATTTTTGTTTTGATAACTGACTCATGTTGACACTGGAGATACCACTGAAAGAACTGTTCCCAAAACAATTATTACCAAGAAATAAGTCAACATACATTGTGTACCAAGTGCCAGCTGATCTCAAAGACTACATTGAACAAAGACATAGAACTACCAGTGCCTTCTGCCAAGAAAAAAAGAAGGCAGAGCCTTGCAGTTGATGGACAGGAAAGCAGTACCTAGGTATAATTACAGTTGAGGATAGCACAGAACTTATTGTCATTCATATTTTGCCCTGCTACTTAAGAGGCATTTTACCTACTGCATGGTGCCCTTAATAGCACAATGCAAAATTTGGTTCTGGCTCTGAAACATGAACAAAAGGTTTAAAATTGTGGCTTTCAGTAAAAACAAAATAGCCCAGGTGAGTTTGCAGCATTTACATCTGGTACTGATACTGTAGGCCATTCTTTAGCAGTAGTCAACAGTAAATGCTATGCACTGGGTGAGCTGAGTGAACACAAATCACTGTTGAAGACTGGCAGCTTGTAATCCTGAAAGTTTCTTGTTTCCTAAGGAAGTGCTTCATTCTTAAGCATATGTTCACATATAACACAGCCTTGGCTCCTACATACTGTACTTTTTGAAGCTATGGGGCAGACAAACTTATTTACATTCACAGTTTTATTGTAAAGCTTGTGGGTTTCAATTAAGGCTGATAGAAGCCAATGCTTAAAATATGTGCACCTGCTGCACCTGTCCTTGGGCAGTTTATGACCAAATGATTGAGATGCCATGCAAGCCACACAATGAATAGGAATACCTGGCACATAGAGTGCCAGTAACTCTGGTGCATACCCATGTAATCAGCTGGATGTGTCAGCAAACTTCAGTACAACCAGCTGGCTCCTGCATTAACAACCTCTACCCAGGGCTGTAGAAACTGTGTTATGGTTCACATACTGAGGGAAAATGTCATGCATTGGCATCATGTAGGACATAGAGATATGTCAAGGCGCGAGAAGAATCCATGAATACCTGATCCATATACTGAAAATTAATTGAATGGTATGCTTGCTAGACGTACCTGAAACCACCTTTTAACTCAGTGTGAGGCCTGCGCCGGCGTTACCAGTACAGCTCCTTATCAGCCAAGGTGGCGCATTCCTCACCTACGGGATGGATACTGGGGTAACGTGATATACCCACCAAGGCTTCTATCCACCCAGATATATCAATTTGGGACCATGGATGTAAGTTCCTATTCAGCTGGACGAGCTCTATCCCTCCCCCAAACTTTGCGAAGGAATTGGGGGAAATTTAACTTAACGGAACCTCAGAATGCTACGGAACTGGCGCGCAAAGAGGAGCAGTCTTCAACGGCAGAGATGCTGGCAGTTATTTATACTTTACCTTGCCTTCTGGTGATCGAGAATTGTAAAAGGCCACTAGGCCTGTAGGTTCCAGTCTCGTCAGGCTGCCGGTCCGGCAACCAAACAGTCTCAAATTATGGGAAGATTCAGTATGGGACGTCGTACATGATGCCAGCCCAGTGCATATCAAGCCTAGACTTGAACTGTTCAACCAAGGTCGACGACATGACCAGGTGTGGAAGAGCGTTCCAGTCGTTGACAACCCGCGTGCTGAATGAGTTACGACGGACGAGAGTCCTAGCTCGAGGTTTTCTGAGCTTCCATTGGTGTCCTCTCGTCACCTCCGAGTTGTGCCTTGTCAGGAACTCCTCTTCCAACAGCGACATACCTCCGTGAAATAGCTGGTACACTGTTACCATGTCTCCCCTACGACGACGACAATACAGTGAGGGCAACTGAAGGAGTCTGAGCCTCTCAGGGTATGATTGGCGCCTTCACTTCACAGACAAGCCGGGTAGCTCGTCCCTGAACCCGTTCCAGCCGCTTCTGGTCCAGTTTGCCGAACGGGCCCCAGATAAAGTTGCCATACTCTAAGTACGGACGTACTAAGATCTTAAAAAGCAATGGCAACGTGCGAGCATCGATATTGGCAAAAGACCGCCTCACGACCGCGAGCATCTGGTTGGCCTTGGAGATCGCTTCCGCCGTCTGCACGTGGAACTGGAGCCGGTAATCCATGCACCGAGGTCCTTCTCGGTGGACTCGACCGCGATTTCGGCACCGTCCAAGAAGTACGTCAGCCTTGGGTTGCGGTTCCCGATGTGCATTATTTTGCACTTTGCTGCACTAAAGGGGAGCAGCCACTCCTCTGACCACTTGGCCAGGGCGTCGAAGTCAGCCTGCAGAGGTGAGTTAGTCAGGGGCCTCTGAACACGAAAGTAGACCTCGGTGTCATCCGCAAACATCTTAACCACGCTTCGCACTTGTTCTGGCAGATCGTTCACGAAAATTATGAACAGCGTTGGTCCAAGTACTGACCCTTGCGGGATGCCGCTGACGACGTCGGTCCAGTCCGACTTCGAGCCCTGGACCCGCACTCTCTGCGTCCGGTGAGTAAGAAAAGCCCTGATCTAGCGTAGCAATTTACCCCTCGCACCGCAAGCATGAAACTTGGAGAGCAGACGGTTATGAGCAACGGAATCAAAGGCTTTGCTGAAGTCCAGGTACGCCACGTCCACCGGTTCTCCACCCTCTACCGCGGCGCTCCAATCCTCCATGACCCCTAACAGCTGAGTGGTACAGGACCGCTTTGGGAGAAACCCATGCTCGGCTGCATGAAGAAGTCCAGACTCCGAGAAGTTATTAAGTAGGGCATCACGGACGAAAGTTTCGAGTATCTTGGGGAGAATGGCAGTAAGGCTCACTGGACGGTAGCTCGCTGGGATTGTCGGTTACCCTTCTTGAAGATCCGGGCTACCTTGCCAAGCTTTCACTCCAGGGGGAGCCTTCCGGACACCAAAGATTTTCGGAAAAGCATGCTGAGGGGGTGCTGCCAGGATATCTGCGGACCCGCTAAGAGGCCTTGGGTGGACATCGTCTGGCCCATGGGCGCTCGAGGCCTTCAGAGCGGCCAATTTCTTTGCCACTGCCTGAGTAGAGATGGCCACGTCATCCAGTAACGGTAAAGCATACTTTTATTTGGAGTCAGTAGGCCTGACTGAGAACAAGCCCTTCCTTTTCCCTACACTCGCCTCATAATTTGGTGGTGGCTCTCCGTAGCTGGATAGAAAAATTGCGTGCTGTTATTCAAAGCCCCTTTTGTGTGTTACCATCACGCATTCAGCTCGCATTTCTCGGTGGTAAAACTTTCTCAATGCTAAATCGTCAACAGGAGGACGCCAGTCACGATTTTAAATTCTATGAATTTTTTCAGGATTCCTGATTCCAGTCATGAACCTAGTTATTTGGTATGTTATGCCGTTCAGTATGTGAAAGGAATCTTGGCTGAGAAATATGTGTAAACGGACTTGAATATTGTCTCGTCACAAAGCTGCAGGTCATTTGCATTGTTTTCGGGCAAGTTTGCGTAAAAGTGGATGACCGACGTGATTTGAATCAGCTGTCGCCTTTTTGTGAAGCTATAATTAGTTCTGAAATGTGAATGTGCAATGATGGTCACTGTGGTATCGTGTCTGAGTCTCATTTATCGGTAATTGGTCTTAAAACGTCATATACTCCGCTCAGGCTCCTCGTCTATATTTCAAACCTCGCGTCATGCGGCAATATACAAGCGTTGTGCGCCGCCGAACGCTGACGATATGAAAGGGAAGCCGTCACTAAAATACAGGACATCCACCGTGCATGGTAGCACATCGCAATCACCGCTGTCCAGGAACCCAAGGTAACGAAGCGAAGATAACGATCAAGCTGATGCCGTTTCACTCCGCACGCGCCGTCTTTTTGAAGTTTTTATTTCAAGCTCTGCATCCCATATTCACACGTTTTGTCTTTGGGCCTAGCGTCATAACGAGTTCGACGAGGTATTCGGATGTGGAAAATAAGAGCTGGAAGCCCAGCCGTTATACCACGACATTTTTCGATCTGCGGTCCGGCTCGGCGACCGGCATACCTTCACCGAGCCGCCGGACCGTTCCATCCCGGGGGCCGACGCTCAGCCTCAACGAACGACCTGCCGTCCTGGGGACGGCACTGCATTGAAAGCAGACGACCGCGGGCGTCACCACGCAACCCGCAATCCGGCACGGCCACAGCGCTGCGGCTACCTGTCGGAATGGTTACCCGGACCACGTGGACTCACTCTCGGGGAAGGGTAGCTGTCTGGCGCTTCGTCGGCATCCGGTCCGCTGACCTACTCCACCACTTCCGACCACTTTTCCGGGGTAGCAAAAGGCTTATTTTTAGGATTTCCGGTTCACTTTTTGGCGGGACCAGAGACGACGCGACCGTGCTGCCCGACCTGTGCTGCTGAGGAGACGACAGCGCTTTTCAATTATGTAAAAAGTTATAAATGCATCCCGGGCTGACCGAATGAAATGCGATTTCCGAGGGACGGTCGGTAACCAGTTTTCCCGCTCTGAGTGACACTGCTTGGGTGTTGGTCCTATTTCTTGGGCGTTTGTGACCGCTACATTCTGCCCTTTTGCCGGCACGCTCCCATTTGTTTTTAGCTATTTTTTTAAACAGATACATTATACAGATGCATTTACGTCGTGTGCCAACGCTTTAACCAGTAAAACCTCTGAGTATCGAACCATGCAGAGTGCTGGGCTTAGGAGAAAGCTGAAAGGACAGCGGAACGGTACAGGAAATGATTCCCACACTTGCCTACCATCTTTCCTTGCCATCTCATCCCGTCCCAACCTGACCTGACCTAAGCCGTTCCAGTACGAGAGGGACACTGTAGACGAGTGGGTGGCCTGCAATCTGACCTTCCATGTGATGCGGTACCACCTCAGGCACAGGGCGAAAATGCTGCCAGGGATGCGTGTTGGGGGGGGGGGGGGGGGCTGGAACCGCTACACTAGCGTGTACCAGCCCCTCATACAGAAGATAATGAGCGCCACGACAAAGGTCACCAGACAGTGCTCGTGAGAGAACATGTGAGAAAAAGCTGAGGTGGATAAAACAGGCTCTGTGGATGACGGAGCAAGTCCAGGCTGTGTGACATAACCTTAGGGTACGGGTCGTGGCGGGAGAACATTCCGGCCACTGCACACCGATCTCTGTCTTTGTTATGGGAGCGCGCATAGCATGAGGGGCAATATTTCTGATGACAGCCTCAAGATCTTGAGCTCAGCTCCGGACCGCCGCTTAATTTACATGCTTCTCACAGGCGCCGGACGAGATAGCGATTACAACGCTGGCTGCCGACGCATGTGACGACCGCCAACCAAGCGACTTTGCTCTGGAGATGTCCCTTTTCCAATGAAGCGTGCGGCCCACATGCCGACTGGCTTTACCATATCTTTGGTCGAGCAAATCCCATCGACCGTGAAAGATTGCCTATAAAGCCTTGATTTCCGGCGCTTGTAGGTAAGATTTGTGTAATGCTGTGCTGCATATCCGAAATTTAGCCGGAACCGAGCCGTCCGTCTGACAGGAGAGTTCAGGCACCACACTGATAAAAAAACCGGTGCTCCTAACGCTTATCACCCAAATTGCAAGCCGGCGCAATTATGACACATTATGTCATAATGTGCCATAAAGCCAACAAGAGACAATTATGTAACATAGTTTTGAACACGCGCGCTCGCGAGTCCAAGAAACAAAAACGCCACATGTGTGCTCGCGAGTCCAAGAAACAAGACCCCGACGCCCGGCGTTGCAGTCATTGTTGCAGTAGCTCAATGTTAAAACTCATACAACTTTCCCGCTCTCCCCATTCATACCGTGCCATGTTGCTACCACGGATCGCAGCACAGCGTGATGGTGTTATGTACGGACACGCTCATCTCGCCGCGCTGCACGTCGCTCGGCCGTGTGGTCACTCCCAAGTTACGATGGGCCGCTACCTCGCTCGAAGAACCACGCTAGGCTATACCAGTGCGACACCTATATTAATATGCGCGGTACAGGCTCGCCGCCGATGTATCTGCAATAATTCTACCGGCCATATTGATAAAAACAAGTCTTCAAATACACTTCTGCAGCTATTGCTGGCACAGTAGGTGAGTACCAAATTCTACCCACAGAACTGGAGGATGAGCTCGAGCAAGAGTATTTCACTCTCTTCACCTTCCATTTTGAAAACACGTCTCCCTTCTACCCCCCCCCCTCCCCCCTCCCCCGCCTCCTTATCCGACTGCAGGTGAAAATGACCTGCCAGGCGACAAGCGACTGCATGCATTCGCCCAGAGCATCAGGCCTTCTTGTTGCGCAGGGCCTCCAGGTACTTCCCCATGACGGCCTGTACACTCTCCTGGGACAAGCTGGTCACAAACAGTTCTGCGTCCTTCTGCCGTCTACCGGACAGATACGAAAGCAGCGGCTCTGTCGATATCCGCTTCGAAGGCACGCGGCCTTCATCTGAAACGGGAAGGCGTCGTTCGTAAAGCGAGATTTCGTTAGCATAACTGCACAACGACTGCACGGAACTTAGAATGATTGGGGGTGCCGGCAGTGAAGTGGTTAACGCGCCTGCGTTAACCTCAGCGCGTTTGGGAAGCCAGATTCCCCGCGGATACGGGGTTCGATTCCCCGCGGTGCCCGCCCTTCCTGCTAGGGTAAGAGGCGGACGACGCCACATAGTCTCAGCAGCTGAGTACGTCGCAAAGCCTCAATGGCCCACCCGACCCCCAGAATAACTTCACGTCATAAGCTGTGACATTTTCAATGCAAACATGAAAGTGAGCAGCCTAGAGTGCACGCAAAATCACCGCAAACCTGTGCACAGACAATGAGCAGGCTCAACAAAATCGAGGTGGCTAAAATCACATACACTCCCAGCGCGTGCAGCTGCCTGATAGCAAATACAGACTTTGGACTCCTTACAGATTCATACGAAATGCTCTACCCTATTGTTAACACCCCGTTGACAACCGCAACCGTTTAGTTGCCGACTCGCCGTGAAGGGGTGTAATTTTCTATCCAGATAGGGGTAAGGTGAGGGAGGGGGTGACTACACCCTTCCCCCAGCTTTGGGAGAACAGTGATTTGAATTTCGGGGAAAACTATTTTTGGTGTATTCTGCAGGCTGGTTCAGTCATCTTACGTGTTCAGCCCAACCACCTCACACTTATTTTGCGAAACTAAATCCATCGCCCCCTGTACATTTTCAGTCAGTGAACGCAGATGTACCCACACCAGCAATCCCGAGCCACTCCAGAGGAAAGCCAGCAGGGCTGAGTCATCAGTGAGGAGCGCGGAACCCACCCTTCCCACAAAACCAGCGGCCGCGATCCCCTCCAGCGCCAGTGCTGCGCTGGGCGCCACCCTGCCACCGAAGCGGCGCCGGCTCTCCGCTTCGCTGGGCTCTGGATCCCTCCCTGATCCCCGGTCCTCATCGGGTGCCACCCTTCCACCGAGGCGGCGCCGCCTCCCCGCTTCGCCGGGCTCTGGACCCCTCCCTGATCCCCGGTCCTCACCGGGTGCCACCCTTCCACCGAGGCGGCGCCGCCTCCCCGCTTCGCTGCCTCTCGGCCCCGGTCCCCGGTACTCACCGGGCACCTTGAGAAACTGTGCCACCCGCTGCAGCGCCGCCTCGCGCAGCTGCTCCGGCGAGTCAGCCACCTGGTCGACGAGGCCAATCCGCAGGGCGTCGCGCGCAGGGAACAGCAGCCCCATCTGCAACGCCAGGTCGGTCTGGCGCCGCCCCACCACGTCGCAGAAGTTCATTCGCATCCTGTTGGCGTCATCAGGCAGGGTCAGGCCGGGTCAGGTCAGGTCAGGTCAGGTCAGTTCGGGATTCGGTCAACAGCGGTCCGCGCCTGATCCTCGCGTGTCACTCACAGCGCGGCCACACGTGGATATTGTCTGACTCCCACGTGTCAATCACGGCGCGGTCACACGTGGATCTTGTCTGACTCCCACGTGTCACTCACGGCGCGGTCACACGTGGATCTTGTTTGACTCTCACGTGTCACTCACGGCGCGGTCACACGTGGATATTGTCTGACTCTCACGCGTCGCTCACGGCGTAGCTGCAGGCGGCTCGTGTACAGACCTGATCGTTGCATGCCTGGGCCATGTCACGTGAGGAAGGACAGGTCGTGTCAGCAGGTAGGTGGAGGACGGCCACGCCGGTCAGGTTGATCAGGTCATGCTGCATCAGGTAGGGTCAGGTCAGGCTGCCAGGTCTGACGAATCAGATCGGTTGGGTCGGGTTGGGTAAGCCTAGTTAGGTCATGTCATGTCAGGTCGGGTCAACCAGACCAGGTCACGTGATCACGCGTCACGCCTGCTCAGTCAGACCAGGCCCCATCAGGTCAGGCCACGTCATCGCAGGTCAGGTCATTTGCCTCAGCCAGGGATGAGGAGCCAGAGGAGCTTGGCTCGCTCACTGAAGCCGAACTCCTCAAACAAATCGATCCTATTCTTCCCCTCCCTTCGCACACATCACACACCAGCTACCCCGCACACACACCCCAACGCTGCCCCCTTGCACGCACGCACGCACACCAGTCCTTCCCTCACACATCAGTTCCGCTTAAACCACCCACGCCCTGCCTCTCACGCACCAGTCGGGCACGGGCAGGCCCACGAGGCTCTCGTTCAGCCCGATCACTGTCTTCGGCTGGTCCAGCATCAGCCTGTAGTCGCAGGACGTCGAGATGAGGCAGCCGGCCGCCGGCGCCGCCCCCTGCCGGGCCACACAGGTGACGCTGCCGTCTCGCTCGTGCGCAGGCGCGCGGCAGGCAGCTGCGGTCGGTGCCCGTGTCAGGCCACGCTGATTCCTGAGGCGATTGGCACCCCGAGACCACAGAAAGGGAGGCTGCCACCGGCCAAGGCAGACGAGAAGAGATGCAGGTCTCTGACGCATTTTGAGCTCGCTGCTCAGCTGACACCACTCGGCAAACGACATTTCTTATGACACATGCTGATCTTTCGTTGGCTCACCTGCCCCGCAAAGTACCTTGTATGTATGTGTGTGCGCGCGTGCGTGCGTGCGTGCGTGCGTGCGTGCGTGCGTGCGTGCGTGCGTGCGTGCGTGCGTGCGTGCGTGCGTGCGTGCGTCTGCCGTGCGAGGTGACACGGTGCCCCGCGCCGAGACAATGTGCGTTGGCGAAGGAATATTACAACAAGCAGGTTCGCGTAGTGGACAACCTCCACTCCCATGAATCTCCAAGTTGCCTGAACAATGAACTATGCCTGGCCGTCCGCATTACCAGAACGCAGCTTCTGAGATAATTATTTGCACACGGCGACCCCGCGCCCATGCGCCGTAGGCGTACCGTAATGCAGGCGACGGTGAGCATGCTGGTGCCGTAGAGCCGGAGGAACATCTCCTGCACCATGCCCCAGTACTGCAGCAGGTCCTCCTTCTGCTGGTCGTACAGGTCCAGGAGGTTGAGGCCGGCCGAAAAGATACCACGCACGCCCTGCGGCCACCGGCGCCGGTCACGTGACGGTGTGTGTGTGTGGGGGGGGGGGGGCTCGGCTTCCAGGCCGTGCAACACGGGTCCACGGTCGGAGAGAGAGATGGTGACGGTGCAGAGGAGTGGTGCAGCACAGTTGGGGAGACTGGGTCTTGGAGAGCTCAATCGGTCACGATTGGTCGTTTTGGATGCTATGCTTTTGGGGTACTTATTCAACCACCAGGAAAAAGATCATTGCATGCTTGGGCATACATTCCATCTTTCATGTTGCAGATTTGATCTATTACCATGCATGATATGAACTGGATACCAATAATAATGCAACATTTTGATGCACCTTTCATATGTCATGCATATTTTGTCTGTTGCAAGAACTTAAAACATTGCATGTGTGTCAATCATGTGATCAGACAAATGGCAACCCAACCATGCATATATGCAGCAGACAAATGGTAGCAAAACTGCATGGGGGGGGGGGCAGCTGAGCAGCAGCGCGGCGGCACCGACCGAGGTGATGAGCAGGGCACGGCAGCCATCACGTTCAAGGCGAGAGATGCTGTCTACCAGGCCAGCCAGCATGGCCCGGTCCAGGCTGTTCACCGGGCTCTTTTGCATGCAGATCTCGCCAACGCCTGGCCCAGAGGAGGGAGATTGTGAGAAATCACCTGAGGAGGCTAATGGATATGGGCAGGCTGGCATATGCTGGTGGCAGGGGTGTGTTTGCTGATAAGCAATCATTGGCATTGCTTTTCAGGAAACACAACTGTCCTGATTAATCAGTCAAGCAGTGACAGAATGCAAAAGCCACATCAGCTTCATGGCTTTCAGTAGCTGCATCCCCAATAAGCAGTCAACCAACCATCTCACCAAATTAGAGGAAAGGGGCCAAGTTTGGCAACTTTATTGTATTAAGCTGAGAACAACAAAAATGATGATGCATTAGCTTTGATGGAACAAAAAGATATATAACCTGATACAGACTGAAAACTTTCCCAATGTCTCATTTACCACAGTAGGCTGCAGTGTCCAAACAAGTACTTTCGAGGCCTGAAGAAGTTCATGTTTCAAGTCACAGCAGCTTACCTTGCTTTTCATTGATTATGTCCACTTTCAGTAACTCTTGGGTGGACATTCTCAAACGTCCTATCCTAGAGCTATGGTGAGGTGAGCAAAGAGCTCTGGTGGTTCTCCATATTGATCCCATTTCCGAGGCACAAAAACCCAGGCCGAGCCTTGCAATCTGAAGAATAAGAAGCATGAATGTAATTCCTCCAGATGCATCTGAGCACATATGACATACACATTCATCTAAATTCTCTGTATATCAGAGAATGAAAAGTGCTGAAGTGCAATAACTACTACAAGCCTTGAGGGTACCACCTTGCAATTGGCACTGGCTGGTACTAAACCATCAAACCCAGCCTTATAAAATAATAGTCCTATCACAGCCATTTTACAGCACTTTGGTACATAAGGTGTCTATGGACCTGTCTAAGTACTAGTCTCAGTTAGCACCTTGCACTCTTTTACTAGTACACAACATCATTGTCATATTATTATTTGCACTGCTGACACAATTCAAACAGTTAAAATTTTGGGTTACACTGAGGCAACTCAATAATGCCTGGAAATATTGAATCAGCCATCTGCAGATGCCAGTTCATCTTTTTGACAACACCAATATATCATATTAGATGAGTTAACATGCAATCAGGATAAATAATTTAACTTTTGTTGCACTTGGTTTTTATTTTCCATCGATCACACACCTAAGGCTTAAAATTAATTGTTTTATGCCAGACTATGCAGTCACCGCCTTGTGGTTTATCAGGCTTTGCACGCATGGCAGGTAAAAATTTGGCCCGCAGAACCCAACGGAGTACGCGCACCATGGCAATACTGGAGCACTGCAGTCGTGCGAGCAAGAAGTTTGCTTACAAATACTAATCGTAACAGGTGCGCATAAAATGGATGATGTATTGGCAGGAATATGGGGGGGGGGGGGAGGGAATGAAGGGAAATCTGGTAACGTAAGAGTAATTTTCGCTCACTCTCATTTTTTCCGCTCCTAGATGCAAGGTTAAACCCGATTTGATTGCTTTTCCACACAAAGGTCATAGTTTAGTGGATGTTTCCGTATTGTGATAAACAGTGCAATGATGAAAAAGTAGCAACAGAGAACGGAAACCACTATGTATGACGTCATTAGGCCCTTTTCTATACAGTCATCAAAAGTGTCGTCTTTTAGTGAAAAGTTACTTGCCGGGTCCCGATTCCCGTCGTCGTAGGGCCGTGCCGTCGTCAGCGCTGATATGATTAGGGCGCTGGAAGTGTGCCACGTGATTGAGAAACAATCACGTGTTTTGTGTCGGTTCGGCTGCTGCATAACTATCACGCGGCATTTTGCATAACGCTGCACTCGTGAGCGGCGTGGGCGCGCAAGCAGGAGGCGTGATGGCCTCTTCCTCAGTTCCAGTCGTGATATCTGTCACTCTTTTCCTTCTGATCGGCTATGGTTTTTACAACTTCCTGACGGTGTCTGAAGAGAATGGCTGTGAAATGACGTACATGTACGAATATCCACAATTTGTGGTAAGCTCTGTTTGTTATGGTGCCATTACGTTTGTTGGGTCCTGTAGCTGTTAGTGTTTTGGTGAGACATCACCACACAGCCAGATAAGCATCAGATGTTGAATGGCTGGTGCAGATAGCCATGGTCCATTTAAACTTAAACTCATGAATTTGGGAAATTATTGCCTGTTTATGCACTCCATGACTGTACAAATGCATACAAATCTCCAAGCATTGTTGTTGGAGTTTCCTTACCTTTTGATGGAATCTGGTAAGATGTACTATGCAGTGACGGTGCTAGCGGGATTTTCAAGCATAGTCTTGAACAGCATTGTTTGTTCTGATAATATCTTATTACTTTTGAGCTGCTTTTTGAAATCTATTGTTGTAGATTGTTAGACATGTCATCATTCTATTAAAGTGGTGTGACATGGTCAGAGAGAATGTTCTACATTTGAAAATATTGAAACAAGCATCAGATTTGATGAAGCAATCTTGCTTATAGCTGTTGGCAAGCTTTCAGGTGAAAAAGACTGATTCTGGTAGCACAAATTATCTATTTGTTAACTGTCCCTCTCAAGGTGACATTGTTTGATTGTGCCATGAAACATTTGCATGATGGTGGGGAACTGTCAAACTAGCTGTGTGAAATGGCTCCCCCAGCACTCACTTGAAGGACTTGAGAGATGGTGGGGGCTGTGCTAAGCTCGCTATGCCAAATATCATTATGTGCTCATGTTTTGTGTTACAAGGTCTCTGTCTGTGAAAAGCTACACATCTTTTTAGGTGTGTAGATCAGAAACTAGGGGGTTTTAGGTCTTAAGAAGGGGAGGGCTGTAAACTGCACTCAATGATATTTGAAATGTGTGTTTCAGCTAAAAGCTCCATACACTCATGGGACACCTCCTTTAAACTAAGGATGAAGGTTTCAACAACTTTGCACAGGCATGTGATTAGAACCTTCAATTCAAGGGGTAATTGTATAACCACGTTCATTTCAGCGGGTTCATCTGCCGGCAAACATCACCCAGAGGCACCCAAGGTACAAGCTGTATGCATATGGTGAGGGTGTCTATACTGAGCATTTGAGAGATGGAAAATATAATGGCATCCCAGTGCTCTTCATACCTGGCAATGGTGGCTCCTACAAACAAGGTATGTGTTAGGGGTATGGACAGCTGACTTGACTCTCTGTAAATGCTTGAATTTCTAAAAGCTTTGCTAAGTTTTGTTTATCATAGTTGTTTCCATTGAAGGGCAAGGTCTTAGTTTCTAAGCTGTTTACATGCCAGTTGGTTCTGATTTTAATCTCTCCTTGTGTTAAATGACTTACAAGCCAAGCATCATATGTTTGAGGCTTATTAGTGTAAGTATTTCAAAAATTGTATTACTGCACTAGTCAGAGGTACTGCTGTGCTCTGGCATCCAGTGTATTTCACCAGAAAGAGCTTGATCCATGGTGCATGGTAGTTACATTTTCTTTTTGAAGGACATAGCTCAGTGAAGTGATATCTTATCAGGTATGCTGTGCCAGTCTGCTGACATCAAGCACTCCACATGCCACACCATGTATGCCTATCAGTGTCCATCCCACAGCCCAGTGTTAGTTATTTTCCATTCCAGTGCCCATTCACAACCCTGATCATGATCCCGCCCCCCGCCAGGGTGGGGTGGGAGACCATCTGCACCCTGCCAGACCCCACCCCCAGCGTCTCACCCAGCTCCCACCTGGCAGCACGTTCGCTGGCGTCGGTGGCCTACCGGCAGTCGGTGGACGGCCGGCTGCGGCACCACCTGAACGTGTTCACGGTGGACCTGGCCGAGGACCTGGCCGGCACGCAGGGCCGCCTGCTGGCCGACCAGACCCGCTTCGTGGCCGAGTGTGTGCAGGGCCGTGCTGCGCCTGTACCGGGCCGGTCCCGGCGGGCCGGCGCCCACCGCCGTCGCCGTCGTCGGCCACTCGATGGTGAGAGGGAATGGCGTGAGAAGGCGATAGGGGGTTGGAAGGTGACAGGCGACGTTGGCAGCTGGGCGCTCGTGAGGAGGAGATCCGTTCCATGTGGAGTGGTGCCAGGGCAAGGTGGGGCTGGGGTGTGGTGGTGGGCAGAGGTCACATGGTTATCTTGTCTACATGTGTCATCGCTTGCACTCCAGAACGACACCAGCGTGCAATTCACTGTGACTTGTCACGGAGACATGCAGCATTGTTCCCCCCCCCCCCCCCCTCCCCTCGCCGGGCGCGCCGCCGCCCCGGCCGCGGCCGCCGTCTGACCCCCTCCCCTCGCACCCCGGGCCGGGTGCGCCGCCGCCCCGGCCGCGGCCGCCGTCTGACCCGCTGCTCGTGTGCCGTGCCGGCAGGGCGGCGTGGTGGCTCGCGGTCTGCTGGCGCTGCCCGGCTTCGACCCGGCCACCGTGCGGCTGCTGTACCTGCTGGCGGCGCCGATCGCCGAGCCGCCGCTGAGGATCGGTACGGACGGCACGCGCTCAGAAGCCCGCCCCCCGGGGGCCCGAGCGGGATAGAGGAAGTCGTAGGGATCCGGGATTGAGGGATGCGTTGGCGCTCGAGATGGCACGGTGCCTTGAGATCTAGGGACTGGGGGGGGGGGGAGGCGCTTGGGGATCCGAGATTGAGGGATGCGTTGACACTCGAGATGGCACGGTGCCTCGAGATCTGGGATTGGGGGGGGGGGGGGCTTGGGGATCCCGGACTGAAGAATTCTGTGGGATCCGGGATTGGAATCCTGTCGTGGGCTCTGAGTATTGTGGGGTCCAGGGTCAAGTTATCGAATGTAGCCTGGGAGTGCAAACTCGGGCATGCCACCATGGCATATGAACGCGGGAAAATGGCTGCAAAAACGCCAGTAGTTACATTTCGCAACCTCGCCACCTCTGGGGACAAGGTTGGAAATAATTGGCATGGCCATCTTTCTATATTTGTATATATATATATATATATATATATATATATATATATATATATATATATATATATATATTACCCTGGAGAGTTTCCGACGCTGTCTCTCGCACACACTAATGCTGCCGGGATCCGGCGGTGCCCCGGCGACGGCCCACGTGCAGCCAGACCGGAGCGGCGTGCTGTGTGGGCTGATAAGGCAGGCGATATGGGGACGGCCGTGGCCCGGTGCACGGCTCACGCTGACCGTGCGGCAGTGGCGAGCCTCCCGCCTCGGCCGCTGCGGTGCAGACCACCGGTTTGGCACGGCGCTGTCGGTGTGACTGTGATGACGCCGGCACTTCCGCCAGGCTGTGCGGCTTGAACCCCTCCGGACGCGTGCACAATGCTGCTGCGGCGTGTCGGCATCAGGTGTCTGTGAATCATCAGGTGTCAGGTCATCAGGTGTCTGTGAACAGGGTATCTGTGAATTGGGCTAGTTTCCAGGGATGTACAGTAGCGATGAGTCGGTGACTCCAGCTTCAACCGCCCCTGGTATGGGAGCCGTCTCCACCAGCCAGCCTATCACATGATTATGTCACTCTGCAATAAACGTGGCTCACTCTGTCAAGCAGTATACAAAGTTTGGATTTGGCTATTAGGGCAACACAAATTTCGAAATTGTGTCTTGCAGTGAGAGTAAAATATGACCAGGCGAGTTTTTTTATTTATTGGATTAAAGTTATTCATCAGTTTTGATGATGGTTTTCTAGGCCGTCCATGACTGACTACAAATTTGTAATTATCCAAGCCTAGATTATTAAAACAAGACTCCAAATTTTTCAATTTGAAATCGTCAGGCCCACCCCAATGAGAACAAGACACACCTCCGGAACTTAACGTTTGCGGTCAAATCGATTGCGACGCTCCGTAGATGGGCAGCAAGCGATCCAACATTTTCTACTTTATCACTTTCGTGCACTTTCCTCCTGTATTCAGCTCACATTTTTAGGTGGAAAATTCGCGTCTTCTCCAATGCTAAGTCCTCGATAGCAGCCGGAGACGTCGCCCACCTTGATGCAGGGTACCCAAGCGAATATCCAAGGTAGTCTTTGACGTCTCCGGTTTAATTTACATGCCATTTGTTGAATGAAACAGCAGTTAGGCATATGCAATTATTTATGATAATGAATGTTTTGCTCAAACGTTTTGTTCGAAATCGTTGATTGAATCCTCAGTATTGTATTAATATTAACGATGCATCACATATTTCTTTACCAACATGGAAATGTCATCATGGAGCACCGTCACAGCGCGCGTATGGGATATTCGCTGTTCCTCGCGCTGTTCCCTCGGTTCTCTGTGCTCCCTGGCCGTACACGTTGTCAGGAG